ACACACACACACACACACACACATATATATATATCCAAAACCATGGTACACAGCACTTTATATATATTGTATATAATAAATGTCTTATATCTTCTAATTGAGGAAAGTATTAAAATTTCTTAACCTCAGGTTAATGTTTTTTATTATTATAAATTAAAAAATTATTTTTATTGATATCAGAGAGGAAGGTAGAGGGAAAGAGAGATAGGAACATCAATGATGAGAGAGAATCATTGATCAGCTGCCTCCTACACACCCCACACTGGGAATGGAGCCCGCAACCTGGGTATGTGCCCAGATTGGGAATAAAACCGTGACCTCCTGGTTCATTGGTCGAAGCTTATCCACTAAGCCACGCCAACCGGCAGTTTAATGTTTATTTTTATTCAAACACACCTGTAATCAAATTTACAATAACTAGGTAATGGATTTGTAGAAGTTTAGCAGATTAAGGTTGAGATAACTATAGTTTTCATCATTGGATTTGTAAATAAAATATGATTTTATTTAGTAAACTAAAAAACAACACTCAACTTTTACCAATATAGTACCATAAAATAGACAAAAATATTAAAGTTGTACAACTGGGTTAGCAAAAGAATATCGGTTAAAAATTTATAATAGACTTTAAGCAAAAGTAAATATGCTAATATTACCACAGCACATTCTAGTGTATATGTTTAATAAATGATTGGCATCTACTCAGTACTTTATTTCAGCTAATACTCAGGGCTTGTATAGAAATTTATGAACAAACAAAGCTGAGCTGTAATTTCCCCAAATAAGCAAATTACCTAAGGAGTTTAAAAAGGGCTACTATGTTAGGCTTCCTTACACTAACCAGGAACACATGTTATTTTCACACTATAGCTGATGCCTTTGAGAGAAAAAAAGGCTTATAAGTTTATTCACAATTGCATTCCTAGGTATCTACCCAAGAGAAATGAAAAACATCCGTTCGCACAAAGACTTATATGTGAATATTCATGGCAGCATTGTGCATCATAGCCAAAAAGTGGAAACAAACTAAATGTCTACCAGTTGGTGAATGGATAAAGAGAAGTGGTAGATGGAATACTATTCAGCAGTAAAAAAGAAATGAACTACTGGTATATGCTACAATATGGATGTATCTCAAGAACATTATGCTAACAGAAAGAAGCTAGGTGTAAAAGACTACATAGTACACGATTTTGTTAATATGAAATGTCCAGAAAAGATAAATTTATAGATACAAAAAGATCAGTGATTGCCTAGGGTAGGGGTCAGAGTGGGGATTGCTTGCAAATGAACTAGAGGAAGTGTTTTAAGGTAATAGAAATGTTCTAAAACTGGATTGTGGTGGTTTGCACAACTCTGTAAATTCACAAAAATCACTGAATTGTATACTTCATATAAGTGACTTTTATGGTACACAAGTTATATCGAAATAAAGGCTGTTTAAAAATAAAATAAAGTTTGTTTTTTCCTTAAAAAAGTAAAAAGGTTATCCAGTTTGCTACTTTATTTATTTCACTGCTATCCCCTTTTCTACCAAAATTTAAATAATGCACCTGATTTCAGTGAAACACAATTATGTAAGGAAAATAAATAGGAAAACATGTCTATGACAATTTTCCAAATCACAAATTCCTGTAAGTTACATATTTAAAAGCATGTATTTAATGAATATTTTTATAATAAATAATTGGGATACCAAAAAAAAATTTTTTTCTTTACCAGTGTAAGACAATCTTCTTATTAGAAGATAAAACTTATTTTTTTTCTTCCCCCTAAAGGAATTATAAACATTAGGTATTTGTAGAGGTGATTTCTTCTATATGTTTAAATACTCATAGGTCACCTGGCCTGAGGCACAAGCTTTAGAGGAGTGATTCTTAGCTTGATTAGTTAAGACTTTTGCCTCAGGGAAAACCAGTTACCAAAGAGCTACTTGTCCCTAAAGGGGTATAAATACTACAGTTGTGTGTATAACTGTCAGATCCATTGTTTCCATTCACACTCTAAAAGAAATGCAAAGGAAACTAATCCTAAAAAGAAAATGTTAGATGAGTCTATAAATAAGAAGTGATTTGTTCTGAAAAGAGAGAAATAATTTCAGCAATTGAAAGAAATTGTTACAAAGTTTACTAACTTTTAAGAAAACAACAAACAAAAAGCCAAAATCTGATGCCAAAGATGTAGAGAGACTAAATAAAGCTATCTTTACAGACACATTCTTCATGTGTAAAACAAAACTTGGGGCTCACTGAGAGAAACCAACTAGAAAATATGCGCAGAATGACCAACACTTCTTTCAACATACTTCTAGGACTCTTTCAACACTATGGATTATCTCAAACCAGAGGAATGCTGGCTATGGTGTCTGGACCAATGCCAGCCCTTGTTATAAAGCAAAGAGCACTTCAAGAGAATATCTTGAATCCTTGCTTTGCAATCTGACAAACTGAGGTATTCAAATTAAAGAGTTAGGATGAGGACCAAGAGTGATAGCTAACATTTTAGGATATAGAATAATTCCAGACAATATATTTGAAGAAAGATTCAGAATGCCACAGAGCATCATTCTGGGGGTTTATCTTTAAGATATATTAATACCCATATTAGCTGGCCTTGGCCTAAAATCTAAAATACCTACTTTTTTTCTTTAAAGGTACTCTTTTAGTGTAGAACAGCATTTTCTAACTGCAGATTGTGGCCCACTAGTGACTCATGAAATCAATTTAGTGGATGACAACCAGCATTGTTTTAAAAAGAAAAATGACTAGTCTAGCCTAACCTAAAATAGAAAATATCAGTCTGTTTCACACATACAAAAAGTGTTTTGTGAAATTTTTGTTTCACTATGTCTGTCTGTCTGTCTGACCTGAGGCATGATGCAAATGTATTTCTTACTGTGGGTTTGACTGAAAACACGTTGAAGCCCATTGCAATACTGTCTACATTCCACACATTCTGAAGTAGAGAAGAGGAGCCTCTCTGCAGTCTCTCTTAAATCACTGGCACTACGAACTGCTGTATAAACATATTACTACTCTCCGAAGGGGGCACAGAGACATCTCCAAGTGAGGGGTTGCCTCCACTAACTAACCCTAAATGCAGAATCACTGGAGCAGAGGAAGGGAAGGGAAGGGGACAAAAGAAATGAGAAAGAAGCAAATATTTTTCTTTCATTCCTATCTTCTACATACTCATATAAGTTTGTTCTCTCACCCAAAAATTGGGTTTATTATTTTGTGAGTGAGGAAACATCGAGATGCTAATAACTTGAATATCACTTAACAGTCAAATTCCAAAACATTTAAGGAATAGGAAAGAACAAAGAGGACCACCAGGCACAGATGAGAGCTATTACTGACATATAAAAAAATGAGTGGACATTTGTCTGAAGTCAAGTGGTATTTGTATTTCCCAGGGCCTAGACACTTGTTAAACATCTTACCTAATGAAGCCACAACTTGCTAATATTTGGACTCATGATCCTGAAGACTACAAGTATTGAATCAACCTAGCGAAAATTTTCATATTAAGTAACTCTAAATATACATTTTAAAAACATTGCATACTTTGGAAAAATAAAATACTAACTTATAATAAATAAACTGCTTAATGAGACAATTTTTCCCTGTATAAACTGAGACATCATAATTCAAAAACAGAAATGAATACTCACCTCTGCCTTCGTTCATCATCCTTTAAAACTTCATAAATGGCCACCAACTAAAATAGAAGCATTACTTTAAAATAAAAATACTCTCAACTATAAGAAATCACTTAAGAAGGTGAATACGCCATAATGCACATGCAGAAAATCCTATGTGCTCATAAGTAAAATGAACAGGTAAGACCTTAATTATAGGTAACATTTTTTGTTTTTAGTAGAACCTTCAAAGGTTAACAATGCTTGATACCAAAATAAATCTTTGTGAAAGATGCAAAAGTAATAATTATCTTAACATGTGCTTTTTAAAAGCAAGAGCTGTAATTTAGACAAGAAAATTATGACACTCTAAGAATTCAGAGATTCTAAAATAAAAAATGCTGGTGAAAACATATTTTATAAAAATTGAGTAAACATACATACATTATATTTCTAAACAACATCCTCATTTTCAAATGGAATTATTCTACATATAAGTTACTATTCCTATCATAAACCTTAATAAATTTGTCACAAAACATAATAGCATATTTCACTTACTTGTCTAAACTGAGTTTCTGCATTTTCATCTTTATTCTTGTCTGGATGCAAAGTTAATGAAAGCTTACGATATGCTTTTCTAATGTCTGCAGATGAAGCATCCTGGAGGTGGTGGGGGGAGGTGAAAAACACACAAAGCAAACTTTGTCAGAAAAAGAAATTCCCAGAACCTTGTTAAGATCTGAGAAGACAGCCAACCAAGTGCAGGACCCCAGGCAATGTAATCTGAGCAATCAGTCAGGCTATGCAACTGGCCTGTCCCACATGACTGAACAATTATTCAATCTAATTTGGCTCTCATCTTAACTTTTCATTACCATACAGTCACTTAAAGAAGACAGTATTTGGCAAAACTTTTCAAACACTTGCCTTCCTAAAATTAACCAATAAATCTTTTTCAGTAATTAAGAGATCAAAAAGAAACAAATTAAAAATTAATACATCTGTGTGCCTTCAAAGGTCTTTATTTGAGAATCTTAAAGCCAGTTTCTGAATTGAAGGTCTACTATCTGTGGTTTCTTCATTGTTATTTATATTGAATTTGCCATCAAAAAACAACCTATGGAATCTCCATTCATGTCAGAAGTATGCTTATTTGAAGGCAGTTAAATATGCATTTATCCAAAATAATTATAATTAAAAGTGTTATGTATATTGCACTTAACACTTTTGTTTTTAGTACTTTAAGGGGTGTTTTTAATGGTATCCAGTTTCTAGAATCTGGTTTGCAGAAATAAATTTGCCTACTATTTATGTATTACTAATATAGTTTAAATATATTTGAAAGGTCATGATAGTTCAGTAAGAGTACTTTGGATTAAGTGGATGTTAAAATTACATTTTATGTAATCTTGTGTGCACAGGTAAGCTCAGAGAACATCACTTTACATGGCAATTACAAAATACAATAACAAACAATAATAAAGTAAAATAACAAAGAACACTGTCAAGTTGGGATTAAAATTTTATTTCCACTAAGTTTAAAAGTTATCCCAATGACTAACATGTTCAGAGTGGGACAAATGATAATAAAGTTGCTTATATTAAATTTTATCTCATTTTATATCTGAATATTTGTCCAATTAATTCCTAAAACTACTAAAAAAGTTCAAATGACTGAAAAACTAAACCAAAACAAGAATCTGTGTACCTAGGACTAAATAGCTGTTAAAAGAGAGTTGAAAAGAGGCAAAGAAAGACAATAATTAGTCTGTTAAGCTTTTCTTTATAAACCATTACCAATATTCTGGAATTTATTGCTACGGACTATCAATCAACTTAAAATTTCAACTGAAGTGTGAATATTTCTGTAACTTGTAGAGGGCTGAGGAGCTATAAAATTAGCACCAAGTAAGTTTTGTGGATAGTATGGTTATAATTTTCACTCTAATTTGTTAAATGGGATTTATGTATTCCCTATACCTAAATAATAGGTGACATAGTGTAGAAAAGGATGATTATTTATTGAAAATTGGTGATAGAATTTTGTTGAGCAAAGAGGTTGTGTCAAATAAATAATAATTTGGGACTTTAATTTTAGATTGTATTAAATTGTGACTACATCACACTGAGAAATTCCTAAAGTGTAGATTTCTTATAAAGTAAGACTTTTTATATATTTTCTTGTGCTACAAAATTAGTGCATGCTTATTTTGGAGCATCTATGAGTTATTTAAAAATAAAAATGACTAATAGTCACTTACGGCAGTTCCCTTCTCCCAGTCTTGGCATGCTGAACCCAATCCTCCAATCTTTTCTTCCCACAATATGTACCCTAAATGTAAATGTGACCAGATGGCTCTATTCTAAACCCTTCAATAACTCCCAAGTGCCTTCATCATTGTCTTTTCCAATAATTTAGCTTTATCTCCCACTACCTTGGCCCATCCTCCTAGTCACCCAGATCATTACATTAGGTGACCGTTCTTCTAATGTGTAATGATCTTTGGTTTTGCACCCAGCTGTAAATACAGTTTTCTCCTAAGGAACGAGCCTTTCAGCTACACACCAATATTGCCTGCCTATTTTCCTCTTAAAATTTTGCCTTGTAGGGTTATTTCACCAATAAGCTCCACTTCTCAGTAGATAGAACTAAAAACCTCAGAGTTTTTCTTACAAAGACATGCTCTAAACAAGCAGTACCTCAAACTAGCTTATGTATTTAATTTTAGTTAATTACTTAGTGACTATTAACTTATTTTATCTTTTTAACAAAGCTATGACATTAGGATAGTTGTTACCAGGCCCATTTTACTGGTGAGGTGAGGCAGAGAGAGGTTAAAGTAATTTGCTTAAGTTCACACTGCTGGTAAATAGACAAAAATAGAATTAAACCCCAGAAAATGTTGCATCATATTCAGAGCTCTGTTGGCTCTTTGGGTTCAGTTAGTAGATCTGGGCTGTGTCACTTCACAAGGGGCGATAACTTTGGGAAAGCAATAAGAACAACATTTTTTTAAAAGTGAGGCAGAGAGAGGTTAAAGTAATTTGCTTAAGTTCACACTGCTGGTAAATAGACAAAAATAGAATTAAACCCCAGAAAATGTTGCATCATATTCAGAGCTCTGTTGGCTCTTTGGGTTCAGTTAGTAGATCTGGGCTGTGTCACTTCACAAGGGGCGATAACTTTGGGAAAGCAATGAGAACAACATTTTTTAAAAAAAAATACAGTAAATACATAAACCAGTAACATGGTCATTTATTATCATTATCAAGTACTCCCTATGGTACACAATTATATGTGCTCTACTTTTATACCACCAGCAGAGCAGTAGGCTTGTTTACACCAGCATCACCACAAATATGTGAGTAATCATTGTGCTATGATGTTAGGACAACTATGACAACACTAGACGATAGGAATTTTTTAGCTCCATTATAATCTTATGGGATTGCTGTTATATATGCAGTTCATCATGGACCAAAATGTCATTATATGGTATATAACTATATACACAGTATACTTGACATATCAAGTTCATGAGTTTTTCTGATACTGTGTTTCCCATTAATTCATCTATTTTTAAGTAGTAGTCAACAAGTAATTCTGGAGTTCACAAATATTAGAAACAAATATTGTAGAGAATTTTTTAAAATAAAAAAAGTTATTCATTAGGTAAGAGAACAACATTCTTATTGATCTGATAAACTATATGGAAAACATGCACATAACTACATTGTGAATACAGTCAATTGCATTTTTAAGGGTAAAGACCCTAATATGTTAGGTTTTCTAATACATTTTATATCATATTTCTACTAGAGAACTGAATGCTAGGACATACATCTCCTATACAGATCTTTTACGTCTCTGGCCTGCAGAGAAATAATTTTGAAAGGGTTATGGGTGGATTAGCCATCTTTGACACAGTAGACATCAGGAGATCTACTGGGTTCAATTACCAGAATTCTTTTCCTTCTAAATTGGATAAGGTTTTTTGGAAAGTTGGACATGAATTATGTTAATACTTGGATGACCTCTGTAAAGAAAAGACAAATAGTCATTCTTAAAAAAACAAACACAAAAAACAAAAAAACAAAAAACAAAACACCACAAAAAACAAACAATAAAACAACAACTGTGAAAGGAATATGTTTGTCAAAATTGTAACAATGCAATGGGACAACAGCTAAAATGGAAGGGTAGGAAACTCCAAGGGTCTGTCCCTGCACAGAAACAACAAATAATCTGGCAAAAACTGTCCAAATTAATCTTATCTGCACTCTGAAAATCAGTCAAAAGGTTTACAGCAATCAAGCAAGCACTTGATCAAGAAAAAGGCAGTTGATTATCAGGTAAGGTCTTGAAGATGCCAATCTAGATTCTTGGTGTGGGTTCCCAGTGCTGGAGGAATCAAAGCAGACTTTGTTCTCAAAATTTGTGTTTGTTTGTTTGGCCTGTCACTGACTCCCTGACAAATTGTGTAAAAGGCTACCCATTTTTTATCAAATATAGAACTCTTCCAGGGCAAAGAGGCAACCATCCAGGACATTTGTCAAAAACATTTAAGGGCAAATTTGTTAGCTGGTGCCAATCAGGGCAAGGGATAGCAATTGGGATATACCACAGGCACATCAAAAAGCTTAAGAAAAAAAATTAGGGAGTAAGATGCTTTGGAAATATAGGCTTTTGAAAAGCTCCCACATAGTCCTTAAAAACCATAAGACCATGTGCATACCCAAGGTGGAGTACATACTCAGAAAGGGTATTTAGGGTCTTCTGAAAAAACTCTAAATTCCCACTACTGGCTGATAGTTAGGCTGTGCTCAAGCAGAAAATGAAGGCTAACGGAGAGTTGTAAACTGCCTAGCTAAGGGTTAAATGCATGCCACAATATATAGGAACCCACTAGCAAAGACTGTGGATGAGTCTTTTCCAAACTTTAAGGAAATCTCTGCTGAATCATTAGCTGGCCACTAAGCTAATGAAATGGAGACATCAGTGGCCACACATGGCAAAGAATATATACTTGACAAATTTAGTTTAGAAAAGCCCCTAAACAAACACTGTCAACCAAAGAAAGAAACAAACAAAAAAAAACTGGTGTGGTGGAAGACTCTAATTACCACATTATATATTCAAAATGTCCAGTATTTATTAAAAATTATAAAGCATGCATAGAAACAAGAAATTCTGGTTCACACATGGGAAAAAAGAAATTAATAGAAACTGCCCCTGAGGAAGTTCAGACATTGGACTTACTAGACAAAGATTATAAATCAACTATTTTAATAAGCTCAAGAGCAAGTACAAAGAGCTAAAGAAAGTATGAAAATAACCTTTCACCAAATCTATATATATAAAAAGCCAGCAACAGGAACACTGGAATGACCAGTTGCTATGACACCCACAGCGGCCAGCGAACCGGCCTGATCGGGGGGTGGGGCCGGCTGGACAACCTCCCGTGGCCCCTCCCCCTGGCTGGCCCTGCCCCTGATTGGCCTCTCCCACCCCGATAGACAGCAGGGCAGCCTTTTCTCCAGGCCAGCCCTGCCCCTGATCGTCCCCCACCTCAATAGGGGGCGGAGCCAGCAGCCAACTTCCTGAAGCCCCTCCCCCTGGCCA